TCTTCATGTGGGTCTGATGGATTTTGACATACATATGAAGAAAGGGTCATTTTGACACCTCCCAGCTCTTCGTCGATTAAACAAAATGACTTGTGCCAAAATGACCTTTGCCAGTTTTGCCACGTGTGGGGGATGCCTCTATAGACAGTTCCGTGAAGATCTTGTTGTTGCACATCAAATACGAATGGAGAGTCTGACATCTTTTGTGAATGGAAGCAACAGAGGAGTATTCCACTTAGACTCCTGAAGTGTTCTCAGTGATGCAGCTGATATCATTTCATTCCATCTGGTTTCATACACTCTGCGGAATGTACGAGCATCTTTTGCAGCACTGTAGTCATTCTGAACATTTGCACGGCTTTCAAGCAGCATTGAAATCTTTGTCAAGTTATGTCCAGTTTTGAGAGCTAGACTTGGGCACTTGTATGCATGGGTTTTACTGTCAAAGCCTGCTAAGTGTTTCACTGATTCCACAACTTGCATAAAATTGGCAGGTTTGATGTGATCTTTAATGGTCTTCAAGGAAGTGGTTTTTCTTGAGCATATCAGAAGCCTTCCTAGCTCTCTCATTTTCTGTCGGATGTATTCATGCTTACCAACATCATATCCAAGCCTGTTAAACAAATGCTCACCATACTCCATGATACAGGCATCCGATTTCAGTACAGAATAAACTTCATCTTGAACCATGTTGTTTAGCAGCTTCCAAAATTCCACCTTGACACCAGGTGGTGGAGGTGCTGCAAATGCGCAGAGGGCCTGGTTTTGCCAGGTTTTTGTGGAACATTCAGCTTGAACTTGCATTTCATCATGTGCCGCCAAAGAATTTTCTTTGTGAAGAAACCATGACAATGTACACAATGCAGGAAATTCTGTGCTTGACAATCCTTCCTTGGTTGCTTGCGAGGAACAAGATTTCCAACACCAGCATTTAATACATCCACATTGTGTGCAAAGTTGCCCCTGTTTCTCAAATGTTCCATATGCATTCGTCTTTGTTTGGAGCCTTTTGGAAAGGACAGAGCCTGTGCAACCTCTGGTTTATCTTTATGAGCGCGCTCCAAATGCCTTGCCATTTTCACGAATCCCACCCTACAGTACAAACAGTATTGCTTTTTGTTGTACATTCTTGCCCCGTTCTCCTTTTTACAGACAGCAGGTATGGAAAGCGAACCATCAGCTACTTCTTCTGTATGGAGGGAAGAGGCATTGTCAGGAAGATCTTTCTCCAGATCAGGTGTTGTATTCTGTATTACAGATTCAGGGTCTCCCCTCCACTCCATTTTGTTGAGTGACCACTACTTGCTTGTGTTGTAGGGTAGGATGTACGTCTTGAACTGCTTGAACATCGCCTTTTACGTGTCATACCAGAGTTGCCCTCTCTTCTTGAAGGTGAGCGTCCTCTGCTAAGGATTTGCGTCGAAGACACATCGTTCAGTTCTCGGATGTCAGCGTACTTCCCTTGGATTGGAAATCTAAGCATGCTTTCTTTCTGATTGACTGGTTCAATGACTTCGCTTGTGTCTGTATCTTCAGATGAATCCTCACTACTCTTAGGAATATATTCCTCTCCACTGCTGGCTGAGCTGTCAAAAAGCTCATTTGAATCAAACTCAACATTTCTTTTCATCTTCAGAAAAGAAAAAGTGAAGTCAAAGTCAGTGCATGGATTAAATATTACTTTTGTGTTACGTACAAGACGCCAAGTATGTTAAGTATGTACATCCATCTTCTACATTGTGAGTTGCTTACCTGTATGCTTTTGGTCCTCCTCAGCCTTGGAACAGAATCTCCGTCCTGGTGGGTGAGGCTTAGTTCAAACTCAGAAGTCGGACACCATGTCTAGAGTATTGAAAAAATACACAATTACCATTTAAACCCAAGGACAAGGGAGAAATAGGTACTGAAAGCAGAACCAATAGTGTTTGAGCTTATTGATACTATATTTCAGTACCCATTCCTGTAAAAATACATGCAAATGGCAAAAAAAAAAAAAAAAAAAAAAAAAAAAAAAAATTACCTGGCAGCTTGAATTAAACTGGTCATGATTTGGGCTTGGACTCTGAGATTCATCAGAATCTGTGTAGTCCACCAGGGAAGGATTCATTCCAACTTTGTTCATTGAAGGTAAGGGTTCTGGATTATGTAAGCACTATAGAACATCAAAGACATGATATGAATGACAACACGCATTCATAAATGTATACCTATGTACATCAAATGGTATTTCAGAAACATTGGAAATCCTCACTTAATCTTAATATTTTTGAAAAAAAGAAAAGAAAATTGGCATAGAAATGGTTTAAATATATGGCAAAGACTGCAACTGCCTATATTTTTTTGGCCCTATAAAGCCAAAAAAAAAAAAAAAAAATCTCTGTAAGCTGCTTTGAAACAATCTACATTTCTAAAAGGTCTGTATAAATGAAGATGACTTGACATTAGCCAGATTGTAGAGGAAGAGCATTTAATAATAAAAGCTACAATAAAAGTTTAAAGTGAGTTATGCATAATGCATTATTTAGTGAAGTGTTAAAGTAAAAGTTAAGTGACAGTAAAAGAGACGGACTAGTACCTGTGTCTTGAAGCTGGATGATCTCGGAGGAGTCTGCTCTGTTGTTCTGAAGAGGTCAGCCTCAGAAGACTCAGTGGCATCCAATGGTTTGTCCTGAAGAATGAGTTAACATTATTATTGAATAGATGGTCAGCAGTACCATTACTTCAGTGGAAACAACATTAACACATGTGAGACATGCATGTGGTGGCAATGTTTACATGTTTCCTGTATCTGAGGCTAAATCCAAGTTACTTTTGATGGGTTCAAGTTGGCTGTGATTTCTGTCATATCTATGTTGCCTGCTATAAGACAGCTCTAACCGTCACAGTTGAGGAAGTAGTAAAAATGAAGTGTGGCATGACTGAATTCAGCTGTAGCCAAGAGCTAGTATGACTTGGAGAAAGCAAACTCATCTAAAGTTCAATGACACATGATGTAGAATGTATATGTTTAGACTTCTAGAAAGAAAAGAGTCAATAAAGTGTTCCAATGTCTACATTAATTTTTAGTTAGCGTGGACCCCACAATGACAAGAGACCTGACAAGTGTGTGTATCACAAGGAGTGATTGCCACTAAACACTGGTCCTACTGACTGGTCCCCATGAAACCACAAAAACCAGAATGTCCGCAGAAGTTTATATTGGACTAAGGATATACATTGATGTATACACATCTAAAAATGTACTTCCATGAAGAAGTTAACAATTAAGAAGACGCCTCGAAACTAAAAAGTAGAAGGTTCGAACCTAAAGGAGGAACCAGTGAAAGACAGTAAAAGAGACGGACTAGTACCTGTGTCTTGAAGCTGGATGATCTCGGAGGAGTCTGCTCTGTGTTTCTGAAGAGGTCAGCCTCAGAAGACTCAGTGGCATCCAATGGCTTGTCCTGAAGAATGAGTTAACATTATTATTGAATAGATGGTCAGCAGTACCATTACTTCAGTGGAAACAACATTAACACATGTGAGACACAGGAGACATGCATGTGGTGGCAATGTTTACATGTTTCCTGTATCTGAGGCTAAATCCAAGTTACTTTTGATGGGTTCAAGTTGGCTGTGATTTCTGTCATATCTATGTTGCCTGCTATAAGACAGCTCTAACCGTCACAGTTGAGGAAGTAGTAAAAATGAAGTGTGGCATGACTGAATTCACCTGTAGCCAAGAGCTAGTATGACTTGGAGAAAGCAAACTCATCTAAAGTTCAATGACACATGATGTAGAATGTATATGTTTAGACTTTAGAAGTTTCAATAATAGCTACAAAGAAACTGTGGTTGTTTTAGGACACATGAGGTAAGAGTAATATACACAATGTATATCTGTAAAATGTTGTTAAATTGATTTAGTCTTTTAGATGATGATTGCATGATTCAATCTTTTAAAAATAGGTTAGAAATTATACTGAACTAGGCAAAACTAATCTGAGGCAGAAACATCAGCATTGGTTTAAATCTGGGTAAAATAAAACTATCATTCTGACTTTTTTTTACAACAAAGCCAATATTCAACATTTTTTGACAAACCTGTTTCCTCCAAGGCCAATCAATTCCACCATAGTCATAAGTTATCTCTTCTCCTTCAGTAATGTCCTTTAAAGCAAATAGTGGGTAGTTGACTTCAGTGTCGCTATAGCCAACCAATTACATTAAATGGTACTTTTATGCAGTGGTAAACAAAACGTCTGTAACCAGAGAACCGTAATTTCCCAACTATTAGCCGCAGTTTATATTGATTTTGCAAAATTTCTTCAGCTATGAGGTTAATACACGGGGGCAGTTAATATGGAAGTGATATGGTTTTGTTTCTTTTAACTTGCATAAAACACTGTCCTGCGGCTTATACACAATGTGGCTAATACACAGGAAATTACTGTAGTCAAGTTGAGGTGAGTTGAGCAGTAGGAAAGGGACTAATTTAGTGAGGGAAAAAAAAAATTTCAGAATTTGACTTACAGCCCATTCTGATGTTCTATTGAAGCTTATCCACTGCCTTTATCTCCTTTCGTAGAGACGTGATGTGCTGAGACATCTCCTTCACAAGGATGCTCTGCTCTTCCTCAAGCCGTCTAATTAGCATTGTTTGGTCAAAAACAGACCGTTTTAATCTGAAGGAGTGGCCTATGGGTAGAGGGAATTGATGGAAATATGAAAAAGTGATTTAGTATTCACAATTAAGTTACAAACCCAAACATACACATATAGATAGACAGATTGAGAGATAGAGAGAGTTTGTCATTGCTATACCATAGGCATGTAGGCATACATTTTAGAAAACATGTCAAGATAGGCTACCATACCATCCTCACTTCTCTCCCAAGGCAGGATGTAGTCCTCTGTCAAATTGGAAGCCAATTCCCCATCAATCGTATCCTCTGCAACAGTATCGTAGAGTACAATCTTTTGTCTTAGTTTGTTTTTTAATTCTCTTATTTTTCTTCTCTTTCTTTGTCTGGTCTGGTTGCTATCTGCAAAGTGAAACAATAAAACTCTAAGGAAAACAGAGTTTTTGTTTGTTTGCATTTGGAATGTGCCATTTCAATATTTGTCAACCAACCATGCTGACGATAGAGGTCCTGCTTCTTGCGTAGCAGGGACACTATGATACTTTCTATCTCAGCCCTGAGATCCTCTGTTGCTCCCTGTTGTGTTGTGCTACCTGGCTCTGAATAGGTAACACAGTCAAGCGATAGTTTCATTTGAAAGATTCTGATCACCTTATGTAGTTCATATTTGAACAAAGTAACTAACAGTTGTATTTCTGAAGAGTCCGAGCACTGTGCATGATTTACCTGTGATTGCCCACTCCTGAACATCACACACCCACTGCTGTGCTGTTTGTTCAGTGATGCCCTTTCTCAGGCTGAAATCACTGAAGCTGGCAGCTTCCACCTTTGCCCTCTCTGAGATCTTTAATGAGTCATGAGATTATGTAAGAGATTTAAGTAGTGTATTACATGAGTAGCTCTCGGCCTCTTTCGTTTTTAAAAAGTAGCTCTCAAATGAAAAACTGTTTGAGATCCCTGCTATATCTGAACACAATACGCATGACATCATCATTTTCAGAGATTGGCGTTTTTGCTGTTTACACAGAGACCGTTTCAAAAACTTGATCCGTTTTTAGTTGGAAACGGTGTCGTGTAAATGGCTCCTTAGACTAAATGTATGGTTAATAGGCACAATAATGAAGTGTAGGTTAAGACGAGTGTTTTGAGTTCCGTTTCCGGTTCGAACATGGCGACATCGTAGAGAAGCAGCTCCCCCCAAAAAAATAAGAATCAGCCCCGTAAATCAAAAAGCCTGAGTGAAACATATGATTTAAAGAAGACCATTTCGGGGGCACTGGATATGTCAAGAAGAAAAACCAGAGGGAAAGCTGGAAACGTTAAGCAACGCGGGAACGACGACAAGCAAGTGAAATTAGCATTTGAGCTAGCGGAGTTGGAACAGGAGTCAACGGCGGAGCTAACATCCGAAACAACGCAAATAACGTTACAAGGAAAAATGTCAGACCTGGAGGCGGTCTTGCGGGAGATAAGGGAGTTCAGACGCGAGACAGCAGATGGTCTAAACGGCATCAGAGAAGATCTTAGAACAACGAACGTCAGGATTGATGAAGCTGAAAGACGAATCGCAGAAACGGAGGAGCGAGTCCTGAACACCGAGGAAATCACACGTGAGCTCATTAAGCTCCACAAAAGGATCGAGGAGAGACAAATTGATCAAGAAGGAAGGGCCAGAAGAGAAAACATTCGGTTACATGGGATAAAAGAGGGGGCCGAAAAGAATGTAGAATCAGTGGGGTCTTTTGTGGAAGCTTTACTCAGAGAAAAGCTAGAGCTGCCACCAGAGTACCAGCTCAACCTGGAGCGAGCCCACCGGGCGCTGGGACCTCCCCCATCCGAAGATGCACCACCGAGATCTATAGTGGCAAAGTTTTCAAGCTACAAATGTAAAGAGGACATTATCAAGAAGGCATGGGAAAAAAAAGGGTTCCTCTTTGAAGGGAAACGAGTGTATGTAGATCACGATTACGCACCAGAGGTGATGAAAAAGAGAAAGGAATACGCCGAAGCAAAGAGAGTGCTGAGAGAAAACAAAATCAGATTTCAAACGCCGTTCCCCGCGAAGTTTCGGGTTTTCTATGAGGGAGACACACGCCTCTACAACTCAGCAGCCGAGGCGACTAGAGACATGGTGGACAGAGGATTTCAAGTGCGTATTGTTAATCCAGCGGTAGATCCACTAGAGAGGTTTCAGCACCGGATGTGGCGCTCCAGCCGGGGAGCAGGCAGACAGGACCAGGCAGAGACTTCTACTTTGGGATACAAGGCGAAACTGCAATCCTTTAGAAGAACTAAGGAGACTGCACAAGAGTAGGCCCATCAAACTAAAGTAACCGGACCGGTATTACCATTATAATACATAGGGAGTTAATACATTTTCTCAGAGTTATGGTTAAGCGTTGAATAAAAAAAAAAAAAAAAAAGACCTAACTTAGGTAAGAAATTATTTAGTTGTTTCGTTTCCAGCGCACGATAAGTGTGGGCAAAGGGATTTTTCTTTATTTCCCTTTTTCTTTTATTTGTATTTTTCTTCTCTTCGTGAAGTCGTAAGTGGGGAATCTGTGTACAGAAGAGACTGATGGGAAGGACCATAAATGGTCATGAGGGCCCTCTAACTTGTAGGGGCTTCCCCTCAGAGCTTGGTGTGAGCTCAGGAAAGGTTAAAGACTGTAAAACCTCAGTTTTGGAAACGGTGAGAGTTTTGTTTTGTTCTAGAGTTAATGATTGCTCTCAAGGTTCATTTTTTATCTGTAGCACAGGGGATAGAGACATTGATGTTAAACAAAATGTTTTGTTAAATGACAACACGAAATAGTAAATTGAAAGTAGCTTCTTATAATACTAACGGTTTGGGCAGCCCAATTAAAAGGAACAAGATAATTAGTAAAATGAAGAAAGAGGGAGTTGGGATACTTTTTCTACAGGAGACCCACTTAACAGATAAAGAGCATGAAAAGTTGAAGCGAATGGGTTATAATCAGGAGTTTTCATCATCTTATAAATTGGGCCGGAGAAGAGGGGTATCAATACTGATATCAGGTAGAATTAATTTCGAAATGCTGAAGATAATTAAGGATAAGGAGGGCCGGTATGTTTTGGTGATAGGAAGATTAGAAGGGGAATTAGTAACCCTAATGAGTGCATATGCCCCTCCAGGATCAGATTGGGTTTTTTTTAAACAAGTCTTTGATCTGTTAACAACAGAGGGAGTGGGGATGGTAATTATTGGAGGGGATTTTAATCAGAGACTTAATGCACAGCTAGACTCATCAGGAAACGCACAGCAGAAAAATGATATAGGGAAAAAAATTAAGAAGATAATAACATATCTGGGAATTATAGATATCTGGAGGGAACTAAACCCATCTAAGAGAGACTATACCTACTTTTCTGCACCACATTCGGTGTATTCAAGGATTGACTATTTTTTTTATATATGGAAGAGATAGATACAAAATAGAAAGCTGTGATATTGGAGTGATGGATCTGTCTGATCACTGTCCAATATATATGAATATATTGTTGGGGACAGAAAAGAAACAAACAGTATGGAGGCTGAACTCAAACCTGCTTATTGGTCAAATGAAGGAGAAAATCGAAAAAGAGATTTGTGAATATGTAGAACAAAATGACAATGGGGAGGTCTCCCCATCAGTTTTGTGGGATGCATGCAAGGCAGTGATGAGAGGGAAACTGATTGCAAGATCTGCATTTAGGAAGAAAAAGAAACAAGAAAGGCTTAAAACTCTACAAAGTAGTTTGAAAAGATTGGAAAAAGAACATAAGAACTCAGTAGATAGCAAAATTATGGCAGAAATTAAAAGAATAAAAGCAGAGATTAATGAGATATTCTCACAAGAAATTCAGAATAAAATGATATACACTAAACAAAGATTTTATGAAGCGGGGAGTGGGTCTGCAAAATTACTGGCGTATAGGCTTAAAAAACAGGAGACAGGAAGACATGTTTACAAAATTAAAGATCCACAGACAGATTCTGTGGTTTATAAGACAGAAGAAATACATAAGATTTTTGAATTTTACTACAGCAGGTTATATTCCCAGAAACATAATAATAATGATTCCCAGATTGATGATTTTTTAAACAGTTTAAATTTACCACAAATAACAGAAGAGCAAAATAATTCATTGGTGTCAGAAATAACGGCAGAAGAAATAAATTCAGCAATTTCAAAGCTCAAAAATAATAAAAGCCCTGGTGCAGACGGATATATTTCGGAATGGTATAAAACTTTTAGAAAAACCTTAATTCCACTATTACACAAGACTTTTAATTGGATATTGAAAGGAGGGGCTATACCTGATTCCTGGAGGGAAGCAATCATATCAGTAATTGCTAAGGAGGGCAAAGATAAAACCAACTGTTCAAATTATAGGCCTATAAGTGTGCTTAATATAGATTATAGATTATTTACAGCAATTCTAGCACGGCGCTTTGAAAACATTCTGCCTGATATTATAAGTTTAGATCAAACCGGATCCATAAAACATAGACAAACCCAGGACAATATCCGTAGAACGTTGCATATTATGCAACATATTAATGATAAGAAGCTAGAAGCTTTAATAATGGGAATGGATGCAGAAAAAGCATTCGATTCAGTAAGGTGGGATTTCTTATTCCGGGTAATGAAGAGGTTCAATTTCCACGAAAGGTGTATTGAGACCATTCGCGCTATGTACACAGGCCCTATAGCAAGGATCAAGGTCAATGGTAGTTTATCTAATTTTATTAAATTAGAAAGGGGCTGCCGTCAGGGATGTTCAGTAAGCCCTTTGCTATTTGCTGTTTTTCTGGAACCATTAAGCCAGTGGATAAAACAAAATAATAGCATTCAAGGCATTGTAATAGCAGGGTTAGAACAGAAAATAGCTCTATTCGCGGATGATGTCCTGATTTACTTGGAGAATCCAGACTCATCTTTGCCTATATTAATGAATTATTTTAAAGATTTTGGTAGGCTGTCGGGGTACACAGTTAACGTCCAAAAAACTCAAGTCATAACCTTTAATTATGAACCAAGTCAAGTCATAAGATGTTAATTGTGGATATGACGTCCATGAAGTACTTGGGTATTAATTTACCGAAAGACTTGGGAAAATTAAAATCCTTAAACTACGATCAAATAATATCAAAGACCAAAATGGACTTTGGAAGATGGAACTTAATACCGTACCTGAGCTTGGTATCAAGAGTGGAAGTGATTAAAATGAACGTTTTACCCCGTCTGCTATACATATTTCAAAATCTTCCAATTGAGGTGTCAGCAAAAGAATTTAAAGAGTTGGACAAAATTATATCTAGATATATATGGCAGAGTGCCAAACCAAGAATAAAATATAGAACATTACAACTGCCAAAGGAGAGTGGGGGCCTAGCTTTACCTTGCCTAAGAAGTTACTTTCAGGCGGCGCAGCTGAGGGTTTTGATTCTTTTGTGTTATCCAGAATATTCTGCAAAATGGAAAGACATTGAGGGAAGACAAATAGAGGGGCTACCGATACAAGCTATTTTATGCGATGAAACGCTGAGGTCACATTTGAAAATAAAAATAAATCCTTGGTTGGAGGTATCACTTAAAGTTTGGTCTAAAACTGTGAAGAAATACAATTTGATGGGTCACTGTAGGTTTTTGAGGTGGATCACACATGATATAGATTTTGCACCCAACAAATTGGATGGCAGGTTTAAATTGTGGAATAATGGCCCAAAAATGTATTGGGAAGTTATTGAAAATCAAACTGTAAGGAGTTTTGAGAAGATGAAGGAGGTCTATGGTCTCCAGAAGCAAGATTTTCACAGGTATTTACAGATACGTCATTATTTAACAGAAGAAATTAAAAAAGTCAATCTAGGATCAACATGGCCAGGGATCATAAGAATAATGATAGAAGCATACAGAGCAAAGATAGGACAGAAAATTATTTCTAAAATGTACAAGATTTTAGAGGACTTGAAAGTAGACAACACAGTATATATAAAAGAAAGATGGGAAAGGGAGGCAAACATAGTGTTGCCAGGTCATGACTGGGGGGAAACCACGAATACCTCATTTTGGAGGGAATATGGGTGGAAAAATACAGTAAGGTATTTTGTGACACCAGCCCAGAGAAGATTTGGGGATACTAAATGTTGGAGGTTGTGTGGTGAAACTAGAGCAGACCACTTCCATATCTTTTGGGATTGCTCTCATAAAACTCAATATTGGACACAATTAAAAGTGATAATTGATGAGGTGACAGAAACAGACATACCAGCCAGCTTTGAAATTATGTATCTTGGAAGAACGGAGACTCTAAAATTAAAAAGAAAGGATGATTATAAATTGCTTCGAATTATGTTGTTGGCTAGTAGGAAAGCAATAACCAGAAGATGGCGAAGTGATCTGGAGCCTAAAGTGGAAGAATGGGTAGATGTAATGCTAAGCATTTACAATATGGAAAAGCTAACTGCATCCATTAGATTGGAAATCGATAAATTTAATAATACCTGGAAAGGATGGCTTAAATATATAAAGCAACATAGAACAGATTTTGTTTAGAGAGTTGGGGTAAGGTCTGGAGGTTTATGAATACCTCTCAAATTTACAATGTAAGATGGGTGAAGAAATAAATGTTTAAATATGCAAGGATTGTCAATGAGTAAAATACATACTATACCCTGGTTCTAGGCTACAGTTTTTTTTGTGGGGTTTTTTTTTTGTTTGTTTTTTGTTTTTTTCCTGTTTTTCTTGTTGTTGTTTGTTTGTTTTTTTGGTTTATGTTTAAAAAAAAATGTTTTTATTACTAAGGGCTTTCAAGGAAAATCATTTATGACTGTCTTTAAATATTGTATGCCCGGTTGTACTGTAAAATTCATACTGTGTGGAAAATAACAATAAAAAATATAAATGAGAAAAAAAAGAAAGTAGCACAACACAGATCAACAACATTGCTAAACACTAAATAACCCCAACTGAGCAAGCTCAAAGCAAGCCAAAAGCAAGGCGACAGTGGCAAGGAACCAAACTCCATCAGATTGGATGGAGAAAAAACCTTGGGAGAACCCAGGCTCAGTCGGGGGCCAGTTCTCCTCTGGCTTACATTCATATTGTTTAAATATAAATATTAAATATAATTATTGTTTATGAATCAAACGGCGCCATAACATATCGCAGGCGTTGAGTCGTCTCTTCACAGGCGTTGAGTCGTCTCATCACAGGCGTTGGGGCATCCGAAATCCCCGTGAGAGGCTGGACACAAAACTGGACCTGACGAACGCCATTTTTCTCAGGACAAGCGTCCCGAGATAACAGCAGAAAGGCAGATGGGAAATAATTAGCATAGCTGATGTTCATAATGATTTCCGTTATAACTCACAAACTCTCCGTAACCTGAACTCTCTGCAACCCAACCCAACCATACGAGCCGACCCGTTTGTCTAAAAGGCTGTCGAGCCCCACTGGTGCGTTAAGCAGTTTCAGTGGCAAACGGTTCCGTATGGCATAACAGAGGACTAGAAGGTAAGCATTATGTGAATGCTTGACTAAAGAGAAGCGTCTTTAATCTAGTTTTAAACTGTGTCAGCGAGTCAGAGCCTCGGACCGTATCTGGAAGGCCATTCCAGAGTTTTGGAGCTAAATGCGAGAACGCCCTCCCTCCTTTACTGGACTTCGATATCCTAGGAATGACCAGAAGCCTCGAATTTAGTGATCTTAAGGAACGCGGTGGATTGTAGGGCGAAAGAAGGTCTGTTAAGTACATAGGAGCTAAACCATTTAGGGCTTTATAGGTCAGTAGTAGTATTTTGTAGTTGATGCGGAACTTAATAGGTAACCAGTGTAGAGATGATAAAATCGGTGTTATATGATCATATTTTCTTGACCTAGTAAGAACTCTAGCAGCTGCATTTTGTACTAACTGTAGCTTGTTTATTGAGGATGCAGGACAACCGGCTAATAAAGCATTACAGTAATCTAGTCTTGAGGTCATGAATGCATGAACTAATTTTTCTGCATCAGAAACAGATAGCATGTTACGTAGCTTAGCAATGTTTCTAAGGTGGAAAAAGGCTGTTCTTGTAACATATGAAATATGATCTTCGAAAGACAAGTTGCGGTCTAGTATAACACCCAGGTCTTTTACTGTAGTGGATAAAGTAACAGGACATCCGTCTATATTAAAGTTGTGTTGTGAGAGGTTTTGTGAGTAGTTTTTTGGACCAATAAGTAATACCTCCGTTTTATCTGAATTTAATAGCAGGAAATTACGCGTCATCCAGCATTTTATATCTTTGAGACACTCTGTCATTTTAGATGAGTTAGTGTTTTCATCTGGTCGTGATGAAATATATAATTGAGTGTCGTCAGCGTAACAGTGGAAATTAATTCCATGTTTTCTTATAATATTACCAAGTGGCAGCATATATATTGAGAATAGCAGAGGGCCTAAAACCGATCCTTGCGGTACTCCATAGTCTACTGACGTTATCTTTGATTTTTTTCCCATTTAAAAAGACAAAATGAGAACGGTCCGATAAGTACGATCTAAACCAGCTTAATGCCTGTCCCTGGACACCGGTGAAGTTTTGTAGTCGATCCAAGAGTATTATATGATCTATAGTGTCGAACGCAGCGCTAAGATCAAGTAGGACTAGTATTGAGATACAGCCTTGGTCAGAAGCTAAAAGTAAATCATTTGTAATTTTAACTAGCGCAGTTTCTGTACTATGATGCGGTCTGAATCCTGACTGGAATTTTTCATAGATATCATTTTCTTGCAAAAAAGAGCACAATTGAGCGGACACTACTTTTTCAAGTATTTTGGACATAAATGGAAGATTTGAAATGGGTCTGTAATTTGCCAAGTTATTTGGATCTAATTGCGGTTTCTTAATGAGCGGTTTTGTAATAAATGGTGTAAAAACGTCTTAGTGCTGCCCTCTTCAGGTTGAACGGTGGCTACTGCAGTTGAATTTTCCTATTGGATGTTTAGCATCTATTTCGTCCCCTCTATCTCTGCTGGGGTCTGCCCATTTTTTCAGCATTTTTCAAATATTACCAGTGGGTGGAGTCAGGCTCTGACCAGGGGTTTAGTTATCCTTTAAGCAATATTTTTTTATCCTTTTTTTTTACAGTTGCAAAGAGACCTTGTGGATGTTTTGAATGAATTCAGGGGGGACAATTTAGACCTGACCACCCATGTCACTGTCGTGGCCCGCCGGAGAAGAGTGTTACATAGTGCATGTGTTGCTCTTCAGAAATCCTACTTTGAATGGCATGAAACGCCAAACATTGAATTTGTTGGTGAGATGGCCGAAGATTATGGTGGACCACGTCGTGAGTTTTTCAGGTGATTGCTGATTTTAAGTTTTTACACCCCAAAAAAACACCCCCAAAAAATAGGATGTAGTGTTTTCATGAAATGTGACATCTTTGTCTTTTTTTTAAAAGAATTCTCATGAGCGAAGTGCAATCCTCCCTTGGCATTTTTGAGGGGAAACCTGGAAACGTCCTCTTTTCGTACAATCAGGATGCACTGCAGCAGAATAAATTCTACACAGCAGGAAAGCTGACTGCATGGTCCATTCTTCACAATGGACCTGGGATTAAATGCCTTAATCATCACCTTTTCGAAATGATGTGTGGTCGGAGTCAGACCATAGACCTAAGCACGTTTGAACTAGAAACTTTACATGACACAGATATACAACATCGACTGGAAAAGGTATTGATAAATAACAGCAAGACCCGTGTAGTCTAATCGGCTTTGTGTAAAACACTGTCATAGACAGAGTGAATGCATAATGAGTAGAATATTTTGTCATAATTATGCATTTTAACAATGTGTTTATCAATTTGAACAAAATTTAGATTTTACAATGCAAGACCACAGCGGAAATGTTGGAGGTCAAAATGGAACTGGGGGACTGGATTGCTGAATGTGGGATCCCCAACATATATTCTGCATCACTTGCTGATTTCCCTGCTATTTACCAACAAATAATCACCCACTACATGTACCACAGGTTATGTATTTTAATTATTTATACAATGTAAATATATGGTTCACTAATTATTAAAAAATACTAGTTTTGAGAAAAGCGCATTTTGACAACTTCATGTCACTGCCAATGGCAAGAGTTCTTCAAATGTCATTAATTATGTCATTTTAGCCATATTTTTTTTATAAGAACACACATTTTCTGGTATTATCACAAAAAAGATGTTTGAAATGCAATTAAATACCAACATCTTAAAAGATAATTGTTTTCATTTTAGGGTTTCCAGCATGATACAGCAGTTCATCGCCGGAATGAATGCTTGTGGCAACATGTGGCAAGTTGTCCAGAGAAACTGGGAAACCTTTGCACCACTCTTCACTCATACATCTAAAAAGCTGTCACGGAATGATGTGCGAGGACTCTTTGATATTAAATGGAGTTTGCAAGGCAGCAACAAAAGAGATCAAGAGGAGGACACCATCTTTCTTTGGGAGTGGTGGTTGATGTCAATTGAAAGTAAGTCATTTGTGTAAAATGTATTATGCAAATGTTGCAATAAACTATTAAATTATGAAGGAAAATGGGTAGCTTAACTTGAGAGCATGTAAATGTGAATTTGAAAACTTTTACAGTAGATATTCATACTTGTACACTACAATTTACACTCACAGCTCCAATGTGAAATGTTAAGTGTTGAGATTTGCACTTGCAGAAAAAAGTCACAAACCTAGTCTCAGAGGAGTCGTTTTATTGGTTGGCACCTAGCCAATGAAATGGGACTTTTTTTGTATCACAACACCCCGCCTCAGGTACATTCTAAAATGGTAATGTTGCTTAATGCACTAAGAAAGTGATTTAAAAAAAGTAAATGATATTATAAAACTCATTATAAAACGGTTAGTTCCAATCCTTGATTCTGATTGGTCAAGAGCTGTGCTTTATTCACGATAAAACACGGCAATGACCGCTTCACCCAACGGTTCTATTTATCACTGCGCCCTTAGCAACACCCTTAGCAACCACACATATCAACATAAACATAGAAAAAAACTTAAGAATTAAAAAGGCTAAAATGTTTAAAGTAAATTTTGATTTACTGGGTGGCATGACGATGGATAAGTGGTTTGAGGAACAATTTGGAGAGACTTCTACAAATACGAACCGTCATGCTGAAGTGCTGAAATGTAACATTGATACATTCGAGAAGACTCGTAATGAAAAAAATACCGTGCAGCAAACCCAATGGGCAGTGAAATGCTTCGGTGACTGGTGTAGTGAAAAGGGTTGCAGCATAGATTTTAAACAAATCACCAAGACAGAACTCAACGCACTTCTCCGTGACTTCTACGGAACTGTCAGAAGCTCCAAAGGAGAACAATATGGGATCAGTATCTATGTAGCGTTACGTGCGGGTCTGAACAGATTCCTGAATGATCCACCTTTGAGTTTGTCCTGGTGTCTGATGAGAGACAGTGAATTCACCTTATCCAATAATGTTTTCGTTGGAGTCGTAAAGACAATGAGAAGAGAGGGTCGTGATAAAACAGAGCATCACACACCGATTTCTGCTAAAGATTTCAGCACCATAAAACTGTCCGATGCGCTTAATCCCAACACACCTAAAGGACTCGTAAACAAAGTCTGGTTTGACGTGCAGTTACACTTCGGACGCAGAGGAAAAGAGGGGAACCGAGAACTCATTCCAGACTCATTCCGAATTTTAACAAACGAAAATGGTCTGAAGTATGTCACAATGAGCTTCAATGAAGACACAAAAAACCATAAGGACCCACATGACAGAAATAAGGATAGCAGGCGTGGCTTCATGTTCCAACAAACTGGGAACCCGCTTTGTCCCGTTGCCTCTCTAGAGAAGTACTTTTCTCTTCTGCCATCTAACCCTCCCGCTTTTTACCTTCACCCCAAAAAGCAAAACCTCTCTAAATGTGTTTGGTACGTAGATCACTCACGCAGCGGCACATAAATCATATAAGCTATTTTATAATTTGTGTTAAATCTTGTTGTGTTAAAGGTTTTTCTCGTTTTTGACTGTTGCAGGTACACAAGAGAGCCTATGGGTGTGAACTACCTCGCAACTATGTTGCCGAGAATTTGTAAAGCAGCAGGTACCTCCAAGATTTACACAAATCACTGCCTGCGCAGTACCATGGTGCAGAGATTGTCCGATGCTGGTCTCGAATCGAGGGAGATTATGTCTGTGAGTGGACATAAGTGTGAAAGTTCACTACAGAGCTACTGGAGGCCAAACTTAAAACAAAGAAAGCACTGGAGTGACATTCTTGCTACAACAGAAAACACCGCTGACAGCGCTGAGCCCCAACAAAAGAGGACCGCGTTAAATATCACCACAGTGGAGCCGATTGAAATGAGACAAATATTTAATGCGTGCACAATAAACGGAGATGTTCAAATAAATTTAAATAAACATCAATAAATAAAGTATCTCTTATTAGGCAGCATTTTAGCGACTAAATTAATAACTAGATTAAAGACCTAACTGTTATCTTTAAAAAATATGTGCCCTTCTGTTTATTTTATTTGTTATTTTGCTGAGAGATAAGCTATACCTATTGGTGTGAGGAAATTTCACAAACTTTGTGTTGTAAAAAATAAAAAGAATGAGACAAAGTTTGAGAATGGTTTGTTGTTTTTATTTGAGCTTTCCTGCATATTACACATTGGAACGTTGCTCTTCACAGTCAGGGACTATATTTTTCTAGCGGAAGGAATGTTTTTATTGATTAAACTACATGAAAGTTGCACTAATACATTGTTTTTTTTACTTTAATATTGTGTGGCAACCGTTTTATAAAAGCAATAAGGTACTCGAGGCAAGTGCTGTATCGTGAATAAGTAACGGCTGAAGGGCGTTGTTAGGCACGACGCGAAGCGGAGTCTCTCGTACCTTATTGCTTACATAAACACCAAACTAAAACAGCATACTAAAACCCACAAACATAATTATAAACTTCAGTGTTTATTTTTGTGCAACATGGACATCAGTGTTTAATTTGTGTACCTTTACCAACATTTGATTTATAGCCATGTAGCCTGCCTATTCCTTCAGTTGCGAGCCTGTGCGCTTTAACTGGCGTTTCAGGGTTAGGCCCAGCAGGTGCGCACGGACTGGGTTCGGTAATGAAAGGCTTTCAATGACAAAAAATAATTCAGACTGACAAAATAATAAAAAATACATTCTTCTTCTTTTAAATAATAATAATAATAATACAAATAATAATAACGACATTTTTCTTCTAAATAATAACAAGTGTCATTAAAGGTGCCATCTGTAAAAATTGAGGCTAAAATATCCCAAAAATGAGCAACACGCATCAAAAGATTGAGAAGAAATAAGGTTGATGATGTCATTAAAAAACTGACAAGTAATAGTGCTGCCGAGATATTAACCTGAATTAGCATGCTAAATTACTAGCCCCGGCCCGGCAGGTTTCGTAATACCAGTTTCGACCATGGGAGGCGGTATGCGGGCGGGCAACGTTACCACCAGCCAAACTGCAGTACACGAGTAAGTCGCGCTCGCGCCAGCTTGTGTGTACTTGAACCTGACGTCAGTCGTGTGGAAAATACAGCCCACTACTACATTTCAGTTCAGGAAAGAGTTAAAAAAAAATGATTGGTCGATATTATGCATGAGGAATACATTTTGGTAAGTTGTAGCATACTGTATCTTTCAACAGTGTTTGTGTTCTTTTACCATTAGCTAGTAGAGATGATCGGTTCACGTGCGCTAGGGATCTGTCGTGTAAAGCGCCAATACTGTATTTATTGTTTGAATTGCGTAATAAAATGAACAGAATCTGAGAGCTGACATCGGTCTCCGTGTCCTTTTCTGTGCATGACAAAACTGATGTGTGGCGTGAAAGTGTGTGAAAAGTGTTGTGAGAGTTGGCAGCTCTGAAAGACGCTAGCTTGGTCCACATCAGGGTTTTGCTTACTGTCAAATTAATTCAAACTAATGATAAAAATGTAATATGAACAAATCGAATATCATAAAACTAGAAATAATAGCCTGGGCTTTAATTTTCCCATATCGTCGAAATGCACCGACTTGTCTATGAGACGGCCCTTATAATTTAGTATTGAGATGTTGTTCATTAAGTCTCTAATCTCTGAAAAATGCTCCACGTGAAACTGCGGTCTTCCAACCTTTTACTATCGCGTCAATTGATTTGATTAATATGCACGAGGGAGACAGAGCAACACAGCACTCGCCCATATTGTTTGAAGACATGAGAGAGCGCGTGGCCGTGGAGGTATTTCTGGAGGTATACTGCCCCCATCTGGTATGGAACATGTTGTATGATTTGATTTTAAATCCCATTTGGCACCTTTAATACAAAAAATAATAAAAAGAATATTACAAATTGTCATGCAATTATTAATGTGAATGAATGGTACTCCACATCACATCATCATCATCATCACTATTGTACACCCCAATACATGTGACATGATTCGAAATTGAATGCTAATTTAAAAGACGTGCTATAAAATAAGGCATTGTGATAGGTCATTTCGGCTCCACGTCAGGGAAGTGTCTCTTTGCCGTCTTCCTTGTGTCTGTGCCGTAACATAAGGGTGTGGGGGAAGCGGAGACGTGAATATTTAGGGGCGTGTTATTCTAATGACGATCGTTTTCGGCCGTGGGATTTATCAAGGGCAGGCATTGCGCACACCTGGATTTCAAAGGTACGCACAGCTTCATAAATCAGGTGGTGAGAGGAGTGTAAGCATAATCTTACGCCAACCTGTTTCTATGCAAGAATGATAATGACTTTGTCATCTTTGCAGGACCGCAATATGAAGTGCGCAAAGTAATATATTTTAGCAACTGTGTGAAAGTGAAGTACGGCTTTTCTGTACATAGTATGCTGTTTTAATTTGGTGTTTACTGATTTTTAGAATATCATTTACATCTTGTGTAATATAACTGATGCACTAAGCCATGTTAGCATTTTAGAACTTCCCAGAGGCATGGGTGTCGTGACACCATCCCGCACAAAAGAAGTCCCATTTCATTGGCCAGGCGCCAACCAATAAAACACTAATATGCTGTTAACAAGTTCTCTAATTCACATCTACATGCTCTCCAGTTTAGCTACTCATTTTCCTTCATATTTAATCACAATTCTAACCCAGGTCGAAGTAACATTTGTATTTTTCTGTTTATATAGATAACGAACTAGATGTTACTTTGGAGGACCTACTCATCTTTGTTACCGGAGCAGATTCTGTGCCCCCACTGGGTTTTCCACACAACTGTGAAATACAGTTTTATGATCAAGAACCTGGAAGCCAGCGATTTCCATTCTCTTCCACCTGTGCCCTCATTTTGTATCTGCCAAGAGGCATTACAGAAGAGGCCATTTTTAAAGACTTAATGCAGATGTCCATTAAAGGTTCTGTGGGCTTTGGAAAAGTCTGATTAGCTTTCCCGAGGCAATAATGCATGTAGGCTACAGCAAAATGTGCCATAATGTCTATGAAGACATGTCGTTGTCCTTTCAGGTATTCTTTATTTTTTATGTGGTTTCTCTGTTCCAGTGGCAGGAAAGAGAGCATGTTCCTGATAGTGTTTGAACTAGAGCAAAATTGTTTGAATTAACTTAATGTGACCCTCTTGGTGAGGACAGAGGTTCGCTGGGAATACCCATACGCCAAAGAGTTCTGGCTTTTCTGAGGCTATGGCAAAATGTGTCATAATGTCTTTGAAGACATGTTGTTGTCCCTTTCAGGTATTCTTTTTTTTTTTTTTTTTTCATAAGGTTTCTCTGGGAGAAAATTGTTGTTCTGCAGTTTATTTAACCATAAATGTGTTTATTTGTAACCTGGCTTGTCCATATTTTATTTTATGTTGTTTAACTTATATTAAGCATTAGAGACTTCATCTAGGCTACAGCTGGTTAAATAAATGTATGCAACTGAGGAAAAAAGACTCTTTGTTTGTTTACTTGTTATTGGGATGATTTAACCAAACTCTTATCAAAGCTGTAATATTAAATCCTCGGTCTTTGTCTCCATGAATGAATATTTTGAGCAGTTAGTAGTTTACACTGTTCACACTTTTACTCAAATAGTTTGCTTTGTTGTCAATTAATTCCACCTACCAGTATCTAAATAGATTCTGGAATGCTAATTGCCATGATACAAAAATTGTGAAAACGGCTTTAGAAATAGATTTGAAGCCAATTTAATTTATTAATAGGCTAATGATTCCTCTTAATAAGCATATTGGTAAAATGGTAGAACCAGCCTTATCTGCCGGCCATTTGACTTCTCCCTGCCGCTCAAGATCGTAGACGGTAAATCTCAGGACAGGTTGGAAACCTGTACATTTATATCTGCTGCTTCCTTTTCAGATTTGCGGGAACCAATCACAAACCGGCTTATCCATCTTGCGCGCTATTTGCGGGTTTAATCGATACTCAATAGCTTCTTTTTAGCAAATAAATCGCTCGAGTGGGTGTGAATACCACAAACTTATTTTATTTATTTATTTATTTATTTGTATAACCTGCAAAAATCACTCCATTCCATTGCTGCTTCTGTGGTTACAAATTAGTAATTCAAAAGCTTCTGCGCTCTATTTGCCCAGATTGTTAGTCTGATTGGTTGACGGACTATCCAATGCAGTTATTTGACCTATTCCCGTTGATCTTCTGCAGGGGAAGATATAGCCCAGACCAATGTTTAATCTTAAAGATTGAGCATGGTCTGGTGATCGGCAGACTCTAAAATAGCCTTAAAACCGGCCTTTTTCTAACAGTCGGTTTTGTCGATTTTTGCTTCATTCTTTTAAACATTATAGGCTACAAATCAAAACGTTTTTAGCAGGCTGTGTTTCAGACCATGAGAGCGAAAAGCGCGTTTTTGAGGATTCCACATAGCCTAACCTGGTTTAGGGCCGTCGCCAGCCCAGCCCTATAGGATAGGCTAAATAGCGACTCATTTTGTTTATAGGGGGGCACGCATATTTTTTATTATGATCTGAGAAACAGAATTCTCACCAAAACAATCAAATCCAGTATTACAGAAGTATAGTAGGTCTACAACATGCAAACTACACCCCAATTAGCCTGCAGAACTTCGTAAAAACGAGGAACAAAAACGTTTCATTTTCTTCAACAACACCATGATAAAAAAAACAATACATAGCAAATCAAATATGAAGCCTACATCTGTAGAAGGGGTGCACAATTTAATATCATGTAATATTTGACATTATTTAGGCTAATACATTTCCAGCTCTTTACATTAGTTGACTTAGCAAGATTAGTTAATGAACTAATAAAATAAGGTTTAAATCAAGATATATTTCTATGCTTATTCCACCACACAAATGACTGTTTATAAGGCGACAATTCTTTACATGTAAGATTGTAGGCTGTATCTTGAAGATTATTTATATATTGAATTGTAGGCTATTGTATGATCTGTTATAAAGACGAAGATTGACATTTCGTTAAACAAAATAAGAACACAATGCTGTAAAAAAAATAAACCACTTAGGCGTTTATGTGTGTTTCGACATGGCCTATTTTTTGGTAATGAAGATATATTAATATATATAATATGTAGAAAACGTAAAATATAATTTTTTAAAGCGGCTCATTAGGCAGGATACATTTTATGTGGATATATGGCATATTTTGTCGCCTACATGACATGTCCATAAGGCCAAGAAACTTATGTTTCAACGACATAGCCTAACATCTTGTTATAACGCGAAAAAAAAATCGTTTTAACGAAATAAGATCGTTATTAACGAGAACATAATATGTAGCCTATGTGGCAGCAAAGAGTAAAACAAAAAAATAAATAAAAAACGTATAATCGTTATAATAGGCTATATCACAACAGAATGATGGTAGTTTAAAATTAGCCTATTATTCACCGTTAGCAAATATGAATGTTTATTTTAAGGCAAGGGCAGCGTGAAAATACATAATTTATATGTGAAATGTGAAATAGAAATATTTTTTACAGTCTATGGAAATAGCCTGTCTTGTATGATTGTTGAGAGCAGCAGTAGCCTAGTCCGCGCTTGGGCTGAAGCGTCATCTCTAGTTGAATCGTTAAGGCTCTATACCTCCTTTCGTGTGTTCCCGGGAACTGCTTCTTATGATCTTAAGAGTCTTATTGATCTTAAAAAGCGAAATGGACTATATCGTGAAGCATCTGCCCATATACGTCATTATAATCAGCAATAAAGGGACACACATCAGCAGACACTATAGCGGGCTTAAAACAGCTGCTGCTGTCATTTACTCAATCAGTTGTCGGCTATCGGGTAGTCTTTCGACATTTAAAAGTCATACAACTGACCGACACAAAAGAAACGAAGCAGATAAAAATAGGGTCGGACCTGGGAGTCGAACCTCTGTCACTAAGAGCAAAAAGACACTGACTGCCGTGCACGCAGACCACTGCCCTATTGGAGACATACTTTTTGCTGCGTAATCTAATGTATTTCACAGACATGAATGTAAACAGAGGCTTGGATCATACTACATAGTTACATATACGATAAAGGAAAAAAAGCGATAGCCTACACATGCCCAATGAAGAAATAAAAATTTGACAGGATAACATTCCAAAAACAGAACCTTAGAGACAGATCGCTATTCAGATCGACAATCTACTAACGTTACATACGTCTTTCCATCCATTAGATGGGCTGAACTTTGAAGAAAAGGGTGGGGCTGTGTTACGTACTCGTACGTATTTAAGTGTTGCAATATGGATGTGGGTGTGTTGTTGTTGTTGTAGTGTGTGTTTCAGGTGTCCGTTGGATCAATCTGCTGTCAATCTCCATTCTGACGGTGACGTTTTGGTCCGCCTCCTCCAATCACATCTCACCACGGCAGTTAAAGACCGCGCTCACTCAAATGTGGACCAGCTGTTTGCTCACTTTTGTTTGTTCGCTTGTTTGATTTACTTTCAATGAGTTTTTTTTTGTGTGTGTCTAACATTTCAGTTGCTGTTTATTGTTGCCTAGTGTTTTGAGATTATAATGTCAACCTGATGACTTTACACGGAGTGTGTAAAGCTGGGAAGAGAGCAGGTTAGTAGGTCGCGCGACATACACTTTGCACTTAGGATTATTGATTGTGTTAGACACACTAGTTTAGGAGAATGCCCACTTTGTAAGTTTTGTTATGTAGTTAGTATAGTTTAGTTAGAGCGTCTTGACGCCGAAGATTATTACTTTCTACATTTTGTGTTTGGTAGTTAGTTTAGTTAAATTTAACCTTTAGATAATTCGTTTTGTTTTATTGATTTCTTTGATTTGGGTATCTCTCGTGCTCACTTTTCCCACTTTAAGTATTTGTTCAATGTTATGTTTGTTATTGTTCTTATATTGTTTGTACCTGTGGCAAACACACCTTCTTAAAAATGGCAATGAGGATTAATAAATCCTTTTTGAGCTGAGTTCTGGCGAGTACGTTTTATTTTTCTTGTTCTGTCCGGCACTTTGAAGATGCACACACTATTATTATTATTATTATTATTATTATAAGTGTTGCTTCCTTAATCCCTAGAAAAATAGCAGAGGGACGTAACATTTATGGGGGCTCGTCCGGGATCCAAACTATTGGATTTTTTCCCGGTTATTGATGATTATAGTGTGTGTATCTTTGTGCGGGATTTGGCAGGGAAACGCTCGCGTGCAGTATAGACGGAGATAGTGACAGTGACGTTAAAAGCTGAAATCATGAGTGCGTTTGATTTTGATTTGCAGTCGTTTATTGAAACACCAACATTAGATACATTTAACAAGTGCAGAAAGGATGATTTGTTAAAAATCGCTGACCACTACGGAATCTCTGTGGTGAGACAAGCATTAAAGGCAACAATTAAAGCTGCTATTCATCGGGGGCTGGTTGAACTTCAGGTGCTTGAGGTAACAGATGTGGATGCTGTGGAGACAGGACAGTCGGCAGTGAGGACGTGTTCAAAAAGCCCTGTTGCATTGGGGAAGGTGCTGAGCGAGGCTTCCGAGGTGGAGGTTGGGGCCGAGACCAAGGCTGCCATGCCGCCCTTTTCTCCCTTTTCTCCGCTTTCAGGTGGAGCTAGTGGCGATGTGCGACTTAAGGTCCGACTCGCCCGCCTGCAGATGGAAGCACAGGAGCGGGCAGAGACACGTAAGGCCGACATGGAGATGCGTCTCAAGATACGCAGCTTGGAGATTGAGGCTGAAAAACAGGTAACGCTGAGAAAACTTGAATTGGAGTCAAGGAAAGTTGACTCGGTTACGTTCAATCCTGTGGGTGCCTCACCTGTTGCAAGTGATGTGTCAACAGCTGCCTTTGATGTTGGTAAGCACATATCTTTGGTGCCTCACTTCAGAGAAACCGAGGTGGATACATATTTTTCAGCGTTTGAACGTCTAGCATCCGCACTTAAATGGCCGAAAGAGGTATGGTCCCTTTTGTTACAATGTAGGTTGGTCGGAAAAGCTCAGGCGATTATTTCAGCACTGCCGGTAGAGGATAGTTTGGACTATGAGACGGTGAA